ATGCGGTTGGCTTGAAACCAGCTTGTGAGGGTTCGATTCCTTCCTTTCTTGGATTTGGACAAAGGCTGGTTCCTCGAAGGTGTGATATGGGGGCGGGCAGCCATGAATTCATTCGATGTTGGTTGTAATAAGTTCGGGTTGTAGGACTTTTCGTTTAGATGCAAAGGCTTCTCAGATAATGAATATAAGTATAATTACAGCGATTATAGAGATGAGTGAACCAATGGAAGATAAAGTGTTTCATAGAGTATAGGCGTCTGGGTAGTCTGAGTATCGTCGTGGCATGCCAGCTAGGCCTAGGAAATGTTGGGGGAAGAAGGTTAGGTTTACTCCTGTAAATATTACACCAAAGTGTGCTTTAGCTCATGTTGGGTGGAGAGTGTATCCTGTAAAGAGTGGGAATCAGTGTGTGAATCCTGCTAGGATTGCAAATACGGCACCTATAGATAAGACGTAATGGAAATGTGCTACTACATAATAGGTATCATGGAGGGCGATGTCTAGGGAAGAGTTAGCTAGGACAATGCCTGTAAGTCCTCCAATAGTGAATAGGAAAATGAATCCTAGGGCTCATAGTATAGGTGGTTCTCATTTAATAGTACCTCCGTGTAGGGTAGCTAATCAGCTAAAGACTTTAATGCCAGTGGGAATTGCAATAATTATTGTGGCAGATGTAAAATATGCTCGGGTATCTACGTCTATTCCTACTGTGAATATATGATGAGCTCATACGATAAAGCCTAAGAAGCCGATGGATAGTATGGCTCAGACTATTCCTATATAGCCGAATGGTTCTTTTTTGCCAGCATAGTAGGCTACAACGTGTGAGATAATACCAAATCCTGGTAGGATAAGAATGTAGACTTCTGGATGACCAAAAAATCAGAAGAGGTGTTGGTATAGAACTGGATCTCCACCTCCTGCGGGGTCAAAGAATGTAGTGTTGAGATTGCGGTCTGTCAGGAGTATGGTGATACCGGCAGCGAGAACTGGTAGAGAGAGGAGGAGAAGAACTGCGGTGATTAGGACAGATCATACGAACAAGGGGGTTTGATATTGTGATAGGGCTGGTGGTTTCATGTTAATTGCAGTGGTAATGAAGTTGATGGCACCTAGGATTGAGGAAATGCCTGCAAGATGAAGTGAGAAGATGGCCAGGTCTACTGAAGCTCCAGCATGTGCTAGATTGCCAGCTAATGGTGGGTATACGGTTCATCCAGTTCCTACTCCGGCTTCAATTGTAGATGAGGCTAGGAGGAGAAGGAATGATGGGGGAAGAAGTCAGAAACTTATGTTGTTCATGCGTGGGAATGCTATATCGGGGGCACCAATTATTAGGGGGACTAGTCAGTTGCCAAATCCTCCAATTATAATAGGTATTACTATAAAGAAGATTATTACAAAAGCATGGGCGGTAACAATTACATTATAGATTTGGTCGTCTCCTAGAAGGGTTCCTGGTTGTCCAAGTTCTGCTCGGATAAGGAGACTTAGGGCAGTACCAATCATGCCGGCTCAGGCGCCGAAAATTAAGTATAGGGTACCAATATCTTTGTGGTTTGTTGAGAATAGTCATCGGTTGATGAAAGTCATAGGTAAGATGGCCGAGAGTTAAGGCGTTAGGCTGTAGACCTTTTGACAGAGGTTTAATTCCTCTTCTTATCGACTCTGTAGTGAATTTCATATTGAGTTGCAAGCTCAAAGATATGCATTAAGTATGCATCAGGGTCTAGTAGACAGGAGCCTGGTGGTTATGGCATCTAACTGTTAATTAGAAAGATATGGGATCGAAGCCCATCTGTCTAGGAAAGGTCCTAGCTTAGTTAAAGTGCCTGGGTTGCATTCAGGAGATGCAGGATAATGTCCTGCGGATCTTAACAGAAACTAAGAGGAGATAACTCTTGTCTAGGGCTTTGAAGGCCCTCAGTTTAAGTAACCTAAGTTTCTATGGAATTGTGAGAATTGTAGGAGATAAAGGTAAGAGTATAATTGACAGCATGGTGAGTGTAGAGGTTAGGGTGTTAATAGGTTTGCTAACTTGTCACTGTTTTATATGGTTAACGGAGTTGGGTGGGAGGGTGATTGTTGCACAATAGGCAAAGCGAAGGTAGAAGAAAAGTCCTAGCAGGGAGAGTAGGGCAATGATAGTTGCTGCGGTTGTTAGCTCTTGTTTGGTCAATTCTTGGATGATTAGTCATTTAGGCAGGAATCCGGTTAGGGGTGGAAGTCCTGCAAGGGATAAAAGAGTAAGTATGAGGGTTGCAGTTAGTGTGGGAATTTTGGACCATGTAGTTATGAGAGCTGAGAGTTTTAGGGTGTTGGTGGAATTAAGAGCGAAGAAAATAGCGGCTGTTGTTAATGAGTAAAGGTAGAAAGTGATTAATGTGAGTTTGGGGTTATAAATGAGGATGATTGCTATTCAGCCTAGGTGGGAGATAGATGAAAAGGCTATGATTTTGCGAATTTGAGTTTGGTTGAGCCCTATTCAGCCTCCCAAGGCTGCGGAAGCGATGGCTATTATGACCAGTATGGTTGGATTGAGTGAAGGAGAAATAAGGAGGAGGAGGATGGTTGGAGGGAATTTTATGACTGTAGCTAGTAGTAAGCTTGTTATAAGGGAAGAACCTTGCAGGACTTCCGGAAATCAGAAGTGGAATGGGACCAGGCCTAGTTTTATTGAGATTGCAGTTGTCAGTAATATGCACGATGCTGGGTGAGTAAGTTGGGTGATGTCTCATTGGCCGGTAAATCATGCGTTTGATATACTGGAAAAGAGGAGTAATGTTGAAGCAGTTGCTTGGACTAAAAAGTATTTAGTTGAAGCTTCAATGGCTCGTGGGTGATGAGATTTTGAGATTAAAGGGAGGATAGCTAAGGTGTTAATTTCGAGCCCGGTTCATGCCATTATTCAATGGTTGCTTGAGATTGTGATAGTTGTTCCTAGGAGGAGGCTTATGGAGAAAATTAGTTTAGCCTGGGGGTTCATTAGTAAGGGAAGGAGATAAACCATCATTTTCGGGGTATGGGCCCGATAGCTTAATTAGCTGACCTTACTAGGAAATAATATAAAGGAAGTGTGAAGGATTTTGATTCCTTCTGTGTAGGTTCGATTCCTACTTTCCTAAGTCTAGGAAATGAGAGGGCTGGTGTACCTCTATGTTCACCTTATCATAGTGACCCTTTGTAGTTCAGGCACATTTCCTTGAGTGTCTTAGGTAGGGTGGTAAACCTGCATATGAGATTGGTAGGCTAATATGTCATAAGCATAGTGATAGTGTTAGTGGTAGAAAGTTTTTTCATAGTAGATGCATTAGTTGGTCATAACGGAATCGAGGGTAAGAGGCACGGATTCATAGAAAGCCTGCGGAAAGAAGAAGGGTTTTTGTGGCTAAGGCGAGTGGGTAAAGTTCTTGGGAAATGTTAAGTGTACTTGGGTTTAGAAATAGGATGGTGGTTAGTGTATTTATTAGTATGATGTTGGCATATTCTACGTTGAATCCTGAGACTAGTTCTGACTCTCCTTCTGTGAGATCGAATGGGGCACGGTTTGTTTCTGCGAGTGTAGAGATATATCATATTATTGCTAGTGGTCAAGAGGAGAAAATAAGATATATTGGTTCTTGGGTAGTAGCGAGGGTATTGAGGGTGTAGTTTCCACTGAAGATGATTACACATAGAAGGATAATGGCTAGTGTAACTTCATAGGAGATTGTTTGTGCAACTGCTCGTAGGGCACCAATTAGTGCGTATTTTGAGTTTGAGGCTCATCCAGATCATAGGATTGAGTAAACTGCAAGGCTGGATAAGGCAAGGAGGAAGAGTATGCCTAAGTTTATATCTGTAAGAGGGAAAGGGAGGGGGAGTGGGGTTCAGATGGTAATTGCTAGGAGAAGGGCTAATATTGGGGTGGCAATAAATAGGTAGGGAGATGAGGTGGATGGGCGAATTGGCTCTTTAATGAATAGTTTTACCCCATCTGCCATGGGTTGTAGAAGACCAAATGGTCCTACGATATTGGGTCCTTTTCGGGTTTGTATATAGCTTAAAACTTTGCGTTCGACTAATGTTAGAAAGGCTACAGCGATTAAAATTGGTAGAGCATAGGATAGTGATATAGTGAGGTGGATTAGATTGGTGTGGGTGGTCATGTGATGGGGGAAGAGAGCTAGGGAGAGGATTTGAACCTCTGGGTAAAGGGCTTAAGCCTTCTGCATTTACCAAGCTCTGCCACGCTAGCGGTCCTTTTCTAGGAGAATAGAGGGGGTTAGCCCTAGGAGATTTAGTTGGGTTCATATCTTTGGGCGAAGGCGTGCTTGGGGTATTGGCCTTACTCTTTCTGTCCTTTCGTACTGGAAAGAGTTTGTCATGGATAGAAACCGACCTGGATTGCTCCGGTCTGAACTCAGATCACGTAGAACTATTAATCGTTGAACAAACGAACCCTTAGTAGCGGCTGCACCACTAGGATGTTCTGATCCAACATCGAGGTCGTAAACCTCCCTGTCGATTTGGGCTCTTGAGGGAGATTGCGCTGTTATCCCTGGGGTAGCTAGGTTCATTGATCAATAATATTGGGTCTGGTTACTGTTAGTACGTTGATAGGTTGTTCTTGGTATAGAGGAGTGGTCTAATTTTTGGAGGATCAGTTTTTCTCCAAGGTCGCCCCAACCAAAAAATACAGGCCAATAGAGTCCCGGGGAATAATCCAGGGGTAGGGAGGGTAGTATGGGGGAGTGGCTGTTGATTTTGAAGTTCCACAGGGTCTTTTTGTCCTATGTTGTAATCCCTGCTTTTGTACAGGGAGATCAATTTCACTGATTATCTGTAAGAGACAGTTAGGGCCTCGTTTAGCCATTCATACATGTCCCGATTTATGGGACAATTGATTGCGCTACCTTCGCACGGTTAGGATACCGCGGCCGTTGAACGTTTTGTCACTGGGCAGGCCTCACCTTCAATACTTGGTCTGCTGAAGGCTATGTTTTTGGTAAACAGTCGGGCCTTAGGGTTGCCTAGTTCCTTTTACAGATTTTAATCTTTCTTTAGGGCACTCCATGGGCGGGTTAACAGGTTCTGTGATACTAAGTCTTGTTGAGTGTTGGTATATATCTTGTGATTTGTTAATAATGTTGGATGTAAGCTTGTGCCATAGAGGGGAAGGGTCCCTAGTTACTCATTTTAGCATTAATTCTCTTATTATTATAAGTTAGCCTATTAGGGGGGAGGGAGTCGTGGGGGGTTTCGGATTTTTTTGGAGCTGAGCTTTGACGCATTCTTTGGTGGTGGCTGCTTTAGGGCCCACAGTAAGGGGGGTAAGGGGTACTTATCCGCTGGAGGAGAGTGTGTACTTTTTAAAGGAGCTGTACCTCCTTTAGATATTCCTCGATCTATTTCATGTAGGTTCGGTGAGGGTCCTTTAGGAAGAATTGAGGATGAACTTAAATTCATTTCATAGGCAACCAGCTATCACCCAGCTCGGTTGGCTTTTCACCTCTACTGACGAGTCGTCCCACTCTTTTGCAACAGAGACGGGTTAGCTCAGTAAATAGCTGCTCGTAAGTAGCTCGCATGGGTTTCGGGATAACAAGCTTAAATTGGCGTTTTGCTTGGTTAATTCTTGCTAAATCATGATGCAAAAGGTACAAGAGTTAGTCTTTGCTATTTAGTGCTTAATTTTTCATTGTTATTTCATCTTTCCCTTGCGGTACGTAGTCTCTATTGCTCCTTGGTCACCTTTCTATCGCCTATACTAGGATTAGGGGAAAAAATGTTTTGGTTTCTTTAGGGTAGGGTAATTAGTTTATGTTGGGGAGGGGTGGGCTAGAGTAGGCTTCAAGATGACCTGGTACAGTGCAGGTATCTTTCAGGTGTAAGCTGAATGCTTTTGTTATAGCTACATCTTGGTAGACTAAGTGCACCTTCCGGTACACTTACCTTGTTACGACTTGCCTCGTCTTTAGCTTAATGGGGAATTATGTATAATAGGTGTTAGTAGCTTGTGAAGAGGGTGACGGGCGGTATGTACGTGTCCCAGGGCCAGCTTAAAGGAGGCATGATTGTCCTGCTTTACTGCTAAATCCGCCTTTTAGGAATGGTTTCATATTCCTTGTCGTGGGTTTTCTATACTAGAAAATGTAGCCCATTTCTTCCACTTCATAAGCTATACCTTGACCTGTCTTGCTAGCGGAATAGGGCTATTGTGCTCACTGTTAGGCCCTCAAGTTAGGGGTGAGCTGGGGACGGCGGTATATAGGCTGGTGTGGCAAGAGGTGGTTGGGTGTATCGTGGGTTATCGATTATAGAACAGGCTCCTCTAGGTGGGTTTGGGGCACCGCCAAGTCCTTAGAGTTTTAAGCGTTTGTGCTCGTAGTTCTCAGGCGGATGTTTAGGTAGAATAAACATCAGGATTTAGGGCAAGGCATAGTGGGGTATCTAATCCCAGTTTGTGTCCTAGCTTTCGTGGAATTTTATTAATCATGAGGCTAAGATCATTTTTATAAGGGGTGTTAGGTGCATCTTGTGCTTATAACAGCTTAGTTGCATTTCAATCTTAGTTGAGTTGATAATGAAAGACCACTCTTTACGCCGTGTAAGGTTAATTTGGGTTTCTTGTATGACCGCGGTGGCTGGCACAAGATTTACCAACCCTGATGGATTGCTTTGACTAAGTCAAGTTTTCACTTATTGCTTAATATCAATTACTGCTGAATACCCGTGGGGGTGTGGCTGGGCAAGGCGTCTTGGGCTACAATTAGGAGTGGGCCTGATACCTGCTCCTGTTATCTTGATAAGATGTTGAGGGCATTTTCACTGGGGTGCGGATACTTGCATGTATATATGCAGCAAGAACTAACTATAAGGTTAGGACTAAGTCTTTTGTCCTTGGGTGTATGAGGCAGCCATCTTAACATCTTCAGTGTTATGCTTTTTATAAGCTACAGGGACTGTTGGTTGTATGTTTTTATATTGCAATTGTTGTATTTTTAGTTTGTTGGTTGGATAATAGTTTTGTACTTGGAGGAGTCTAAAAGAAAGAAGTATTTGACTGGAATTGATGATATTGAGGGATGGGTTGTTAGGTTAGATAGAAAATTTTGGGGATGAGGTTCTTATAGTTGAATTTACAACGGTGGTTTTTCAGGCCATAGGTCTTGGAGAGAGTCCAGGTAAGAACCTTATGACGTACTTCATGGTTTTTTTAAGTATCTGTTTTATTTTAGGTGGGTTGGCAGTAGCTTCTAATCCTTCTCCTTATTATGGGGTTGTAGGGTTAGTGTTGGGGTCTGTTGTGGGGTGTGGGTGATTGGTGAGTTTGGGGGTGTCTTTCATCTCGTTGGTGCTGTTTTTAGTGTATTTGGGTGGAATATTAGTTGTATTTATTTACTCAGTGTCGTTGGCAGCTGACCCTTTTCCTGAAGCCTGAGGGGATTGGCAGGTTGTGGGG